TCATTTGTGGTGATGCTGTGGTAAAACACAAAAGCAGGTTAAAATGCTCTTCTCTCTACATTGCCCTAGTAAACTTGTTGCAAGTTTACTAATTTATTTTCTTACTTGTTTTTCTTTTGTGTTAGGAAATTCATAACTAGATGTATGGTAATTTGTAAAATTTCAAATTTAATACCAGTAGGGTTGGGTACAAAGGCAGCTGCATTAAAATACTGAGTCCTTAATTCATATAATTCAAGTATCTTGAATTTCTTGTATTTTTCATCCACTAATTTATCTTCTGGGACTCATATTTACCATCACTACACAAGTTAATAATGTCTATAAATTCTCTGTTCGGGAAATGTGTCAGTAATCTTGAACTACTTTTCAAGAAATGCATCTGAACAAGCACATGAATAATTTGGTTGACACAGAAGAGAAAGTAGAATATGTATTTTATTAATTCCCAGCTTCCATCTTACACATGTACATTCATTCTTGCAACACAGATATCTCAGAGTTGATTTTGCTTACCTGGCATCTGCCTCGAGGATGCCATCCTTCTTATATTACTAAATACCCTCAACATTACTGAACTAAAATAGCTTTTAGACCTTATTAGGTGATGAGCCCAAGTATCTCTGTATGCCTTGTATCTCATACACTGGACCAAGATTTCCATGCTTTTTATTTTATTTATAAGCTGTATATTAAATTACCATCTTCTTTCTCCTCAGTCTGTGTCACTTCTCTGAACTGTAATTCTAACTGAATTATCATTGAATTGGCTGGTAGGTTTCATAATAAAACAGAAAGGCTTTTTTTTTTTTCATTAGAAACTGAACCAAAAAAAATGTATTTGTTGATTATTATTTTTTTTTAATTTTCATATGTAAAATTAGCTGTGACATCTACAAAAGGCTTAGAGTGACTTTTCTACATTTTTTAAACATTCCCCTCAAAAAACCTTGCAGTTAACACTATTAAGTAGAATTTGGATCCCTACCTTTCCTGTTGGTTCCTGCAGAAGTGGCACAAGAGCAAAAAATGACAGACTCAGAAAACAGATTTCACATGACTATTGCCTTTTTAGAGCTTTATAAGCTTTATTAGCAAAACACTTTCAACTTTGAATTAAATGATGGAGCTCGTTGGCACTACAAAACAGTTTTCAAAACCACTGCTTTCATTTCCAAGAAGAAAAAGCTTAATACCAAAAACATTTCTGTTTCCAACTATAACAGTTATCTGGCATAAATGGATATTGTAACAATAATTCCCTGCGCTTAGTGAGTGTGGAAGGTTTTCTCTTCCCCCGTACAAAGAGAGGAATGCAATGGAAGGGTCAGTTTTGAGCTCGGCAGAACGCAACATATGTGATTTTAGGCAAGGAGTTCACAACTAGATCCAAAAAGGCAGTAGGCAACACTTACAGCACTTGACTTCAGGATCCAGACTCTTAGAGTGCAGGTGGAATGCTGCATGTCTTAGGAAGCAATCAAAAGTAACTGGAGAGCTGCCTAAATCTAACTAACAGAGAAATAAGAATTGTCTCTGAGAACAGTAACTGGACCACATGCTTGTGAGGCATGATTTCCTAAGTCATGCTGAGACAGAAAGTTTTGGGCAGGTACAGAAGCACAAAGCTCAGTGTCCAGGGAACTGAAAGTCAGTACCCCTCCCAAACACTTCAAACACACATTTCTCAAATTTCCGTATATTCAGCATCAGGTGACAGCTGACAAGGCTTTTAGAAGGATCCAAATTTTGGATTTCTGTGCTATAAAGTTTTGTCTGTCTCCGCATTAGGCAATACAGCTAGGTCAGCAATCCAGCAGCGTTGCACTCTGCAAGCAAATTTCTCATTTTACCCCAGTTATGTGTGTGTTATACTGTAATGTGTGGAGCAGGCGTGTACTAAATCCTTTATGGACCATTAACCATTTTGTATTCATTCCTTTATCTATAAAGCAGGAGCAAGATTTACCTACTCCATAGGAATACTATGAGAAAAAATACATAAAGGTTTTCTGAAATGCTCAGGTAATACAGATGCTAGCATTGTAGAATTAGTTGGAAGTTGAGTATTGCTGCACAAAGACTAAATGGTAGTTCTTCCAAACAAGTGACTTAGAAGAATATGAAAAATGATCTTTGCGAAAAGAGAAATAAGATAAGTTCAGTCTTTCTAAACCACCATTTGAATTCCAGTTAAAATCTTTCAGCTGTCAAAGGCATTAAACTTAATTACACTATAGATTTTTATTAGGAATTATTATTTTTTTTCTAATTCAGAGTAAACAACATAAATATAGAAACATTATTATTTAATATAGGGGACATTTATCAATGGAGGTGGGAATGGACTTTGATTTAGGAGTCTGATACCTTTCCAGAACAGCTCTTCTCAGAACTGAAGGTGAATGTGAGATAAGTCCTAGTGATATTTTCTAAAAGATTGTTCTTTTAATGTATCTGAGGTTAAAAACATGTAACCATTTTTTGAGCACCTTTAAAGTTCATATTACCCTGTAAGGAAAGCTACAATTATTTCTTACACTGAAATGGAGAGCTTTCTTTACTATGAATCGCTCCATCTACATGGCTGTGGCAAGAACAAGTCATGGTGTTAGGAGACGCAGAGGAGACAAAAGTGGCCTGACTCTGTGGTCACCCACAGAGCTCTGACTGTAGCCTGACTCAGGGCTCCTGGACTCAGTGCCCAAAATTTCATCTTCACTGTTTATTAAACAACCATTGGTTTGAGAAAACTAACAGAAATCAACCACTCCTCATCTTCTCCCCTGTGGAGAAGGGGGTCTTGATAGACGAAAAACTTAACATGAGCCAGCAGTGTGCCCTTGCGGCTTGGAAGGCAAATGGTATCCTGGGCTCCATCAGAAGAGGGGTGGCCAGCAGGGACAGAGAGGTGATTGTTCCCCTCTACTCTGCTCTTGTGAGACCCCATCTGGAGTACTGCGTCCAGGTCTGGAGCCCCCAGTACAAAAAAGACAGGGAGCTGTTGGAGAGGGTCCAGAGGAGGGCCACGAAGATGATCAGGGGACTGGAGCACCTCCCCTATGAGGACAGGCTGAAAGAGCTGGGCTTGTTCAGCCTGGAGAAAAGAAGGCTGCGGGGTGACCTCATTGCAGCCTTTCAGTACCTAAAGGGAGCCTACAAACAGGAGGGGAATCAACTCTTTGAAAGGGTGAGTGACAGCAGGACAAGGGGAAATGGTTTTAAGCTGAGGGAAGGGAGATTTAGGTTGGACGTCAGGGGGAAGTTCTTTACAGAGAGAGTGGTGAGGTGCTGGAACAGGCTGCCCAGAGAGGTTGTGGATGCCCCATCCCTGGAGGTGTTCAAGGCCAGATTGGATGGGGCCCTGGGCAGCCTGGTCTAGCATTAGGTGGGATGGTTGGTGGCCCTGCGTGTGGCAGGGGGGTTGGAGATTCATGATCCTTGAGGTCCCTTCCAACCCTGGCAATTCTGTGATTCTGTGATTTTCCAAAACAAGCCCTGGAAGAGCAAAAGAGTGGTTAGTAAGCTTCTAACAAATAAAAGCAGGTATCTTTGTGCCACACTGCAAAGATCATCTAGTTCCAAACGCTCCGCCATGGGCAGGGTTTCAAACCACTAAATCAGACACTAGATCAGGTCCAACCTGGCCTTGAACAGATCCATGGATGGAGCATCAACAACCTTCCTAAGCAACCTGCTAAAGTGCCTCACCATACTCTGAGAAATTTCCCTGACATCTAATCTACATCTCCCCTCCTTTAGTTTAAATCTCTTCTGCTTTGTCCTATCACTATCTACCTGCGTAAAAAGCTGATTTCCCTCCTGTTTATAAGATCCCTTTAAGAACTGGAGGCCACAATCAGGTCTCCCTGGAGCCTTCTCTTCTCCAGATGAACAAGCTCAGTTGCCTCAATCTGTCTTCACAAAAGAGATATTCCAGCCCTCTAAGCATCTTTGTGGCCCTCATCTGTACCCTCTTCAACAGCTCCACATCTTACTCGTGCTGGGGTCCCAGACCTGGGTGGAGCATTCCAGATTGGCCCTTACTCGAGCAGAGCAGAGGGGGATAATTCCTTCCTCGTCCCTGCTGGCAACCCCTCTTGTGATGCAGCCCAGGATACTGTTGGCCTTCTGGGCTGCAAGTGCACACTGCTGGTTCATGTTCAGTCTTTCATCCACCAGGACACCGAAGTCCTTCTCTGCAGAGCTACTCTCAAAGAGTTGTTCTCCCGGTCTGTAAATATATTTGGGATTTCCCTAACCCAGCTGCAGCATCTGCATTTGGCCTTGTTGAACCTCACATGGTTCACACTGGCCCCTTTTCAAGCCTGCCCAGGTCTCCCTGGATGGCTTCCTTTCCTTCTGTCCTATCACTGCACCGCTCAGCTTGGCGTTGTCCACAAACTGCTGAGGCTGCACCCAATCCCACCGCCGGTGTCACTGGTGAAGATGTTACAGAGTAGCAGCCCCGAGGCAGAGTCCTGGGCTACACTTCTGGTGTCCGACCCTCACCTGGATACAGAGCCATTTACACAACCCTCCGGTTGCAGCCTTGCAACCAATTCCTTATCCACTGTACGGTCTACCCTTTGCACTTGTATCTCTCCAATTTAGAGACAAGGATGTGAACGTTTGCCCTGTCTCGTTTTTTTTTCCGTAGCACCAGCTTTGGACATCGCAGGAAACAGGATTTGGGCTGGACGACCTTCAATGTGCTCAACCCAGCTGCCTCGCGTTCCGAGTTTTCAGAACACCGGCACGGCTGACGTTTGCGGGCGACCCGAGCGCTCGTGCCGTCCGGCGGCAGCCCCGCGGCGGGGCGGAGCGGTGCGGGCTGCGGGCGGTGCCCCGCGGCGGGAGGCCAATGACGGCCGGCGGCGTCACGGCGCCGCGTCACGCGGGCGGCCGCCAAGATGGCGAAGGTGTCGGAGATGTACGACGTGACCTGGGAAGGTAACGCCGCGAACAGCCGCCGGCCCGGCTAGGGACGGACCGGGAGGGCCCCGCGCCTCGCTGCGGCCTAAGCGGTCGGCTCGGAGTTCCGCTGCGCGTCGGGCCCGAGCCGGCGTGCTCAGGCCGGGTGGTGAGGCGAGGTGACGGCGGCTCCTGCCGGGTGCTCGGGCTGTGCCGCCGGAGGGGCCGTCTCGGCGGCCTGCCGCAGCCAGTCGGTGCGCGGCCGGGCCCCGCCTGCCCGTAGCGCGGAAACGCGGAGGGAGCGAGCCGCGTGCCGGCCTGGCGTGGGGCGGGTTTCCCCGCGGAGTGAGCCGAGCCGAGTATCGTGCGTTCAGTGGGTAAATCACATCCCTGTGTCCTGCTGGGAGTCACTGAATCACAGAGCTGCTCGGGTTAGAAAAGGCCTTCAAGGTCATCGAGTCCAACCATAACGGAGAGAACTCCTCAGCGGGGCCTGAGCACGTCGTGGCCCTGTCCTCCTCCCAGAGTCCCCGGAGATCACAGCTTGGATGTCAGGCTGTTGGTAGTTGGATGGGTCCCTGCTGAAGGCACAGCAGTCCCTGGAGATGTCTGGGCCCAGCTGCGTCCTGCTGCCATCTTCCAGAGCAGGCTTCTCCTTGCTGTTTTCATTCAAAATTTGGGTAAACACTAGAAAAAGCGTCTTTCCCTATCATGCTTTATACTGTCTTTCATGGCATTATCTATTTGGTAAGGGCAGTTCAGTGAAGTTGCGTTATTTTTACAAGTTCTTTTTGTGTATGTTGTGAGAAGGTACTGTAACAGTTGTGAAGCTGTGGCTGGAAAGTTACAGGGAGGAAAAGAGCATTAATTGACAGCCAGACGAAAAGGCCAGTGACATCGTGGCTCGTATCAAAAATAGTGCAGTGAGCAGGAGCAGGGGGGTGGTCATCACTCTGTACTCCACACTGGTCACGCCTTGAGTGCTGTGTCCAGTTTTGGGCCTACCACTACAAAAAAGACATTGAGGTCTGGGACTGTATCGGGGGGAGAGCAAAGAAACTGCGAGGAATCTGAAACACAAGTCTTATGACGAGCAGTTGAAGGAACTGGGATTGTCCAGTCTAGAGAAGGGAAGGCTTAGAGCAGGCCTTATTGCTATCTGCAACTCCCTGAAAGAAGGCTGTGGCAAAGTGGAGATCAGCCTTTTCTCCCAGGTAACAATAATGTAATGATAGGTGATAGCCTTAAGTTGCCCCAGGAGAGATTCAGGTTGAATATTAGGAAAAATTTCTTCTCTGAAAGAATGATGAGGTTTTGGAACAGACTGCTCAGTGAGGTGGTTGAGATTCTCAAGGAAAGGGTAGATGTGGCACTGAGTGACATGGTATGAAGCAGTCACAGGCATGGATTGATGGTTAGACTAGATAATCTTAGTGGTCTTTTCCAACATTAATGATTCTGTGAAGTAGGAGGTCTAGGAAGGAAAGTTGTGGGGCATTGCTAGCAGTATTGTAAGGCTTTCCCAAGTCTAATGCACATTTGAAAATAATATTTCTTTTCTCTGTTATTAGGAAGTGTGTAATAGAGTAAAAGTGAAATTCCTGAACAGACTGTAGAAAGTCTCTTCACAGAGAAAAAAGCGTTTCTCTCTAATTCTGCAGGTCTCCAGCATGATGAGGCTTTTTATTACAGGGTCATTCCAGGAGGGTTGTGAACTGATCCGTAAGAGAGAATTCAAACACAGCTGTGAGAAGTGGTTGTAGCATATACTGAATTTGTCTAAAATGCTTGTTTTTGCAAGCAGCTGTCTGGTTGGTATTTATCTGAAAAGTGTCCTTTATGTACTAAGTCCTTGATAAATGGGATGACTTACTTAAATATTGCTCAAACACGAAAAGGGGATTGGGGGTTTTGGAAGAAGTATGAGTCTGAGGCATGTGAAGTACATTTTGTACCCTACTTCATTTTCCACTTGTTTTTTCTGTGACAAAGCTAGCTGTTAAACTGTGATGAAATTGTAGTTTAGGTAAATGCATTGTACAGGTATTCAGAAAAGATAATCTGATAATACAGCTTTAACCTGTATTTTGAAATCTGGGGAGCAAGAAAACCATTTCAGAGTTTTGATCAGTGAATATAGATGGTCTGAATGTGGCCTCAGATTGCTATTGCATTAAAAGAATGTGAACATACTTCTTAAAATTTGCATCTAATGATTTGAGACTAAGGCTGTATGCCTTTTTTTTTTCCCATTGTTGTTGATAATTATCCCGTGGAAAACGATATTATAGTTTCTACTTGCTAATATATACAAGAATTAAATATGTATAAGAATTAGAAAGTGGAATGACCAGAATTGTTGGTCTGGTGAAGCAGCACAGTGCTGTAGATTAGCCTGTCAGTACCAACTGGCCACGTGCAGCCTCCTGAATGAGCCTCTTAAGCTAAACAGGACTTGGAGGCCATTTATAAATATTTATCGTTATTTCAGTGACACATTAAAGATGAATTTGGCCCACAAGTAGTTTTTTTGGAAGAGATACGCTCTCTATGAAGTTAGTTTAAAAACTGATTTTGTAGCACAGAAGTTAGCCTGTGTGTGCAGGATTAGCATGACCTGTAAACAAGTAGTGGTCACAGTGGTCAAGAACTAGTAAAGCAACAGTTGGCTTCCACAGGAAAGCTGTCTGACATATTGTCAGAATTGAACAAAATAATCCTGCTTTTCTGTCTCATCTTTGTGCCAAGGCATAATTGCAATAACATCTCAAACCCATCCAGCAGGAAGCAGACTTCAAGCTAGTGAGACATGAGCTTTCTGGATACCTGAATTGCTGTTCTTGTTGCAGTCCATAATTCTATCAAAACCAGAAAACCAAGAGAGAGATGAGATATGCTCTAAGCTACATTTATTTCAATTACTATTTTCACTTGTTTTCGATCTAAAAGCTATTAAATAGCTCTTGTGTTGTCTGTTGTTTAAGCTACTTGGCTTTTCTGGATCACTAAATTAGTGTTAAAAATTGCTCTACTTACATGGTGGTACACTAAGGAGTTTGATGTTTTCACGTGAGAAGTTTTTCAAGGAATTCTTTTTAATTACTGAAATTACCAACAAGACTTATATAACAGTTGGTGCATGTGAAGCCTTTTTTTTTTTTTTGCAAGTATGTGTGTTGGTGAACATTACATACAACAAAGAGAAAATGCCAAATGGATTGTAAAGCTGAACACTGACTTCAGCATTTCTACTCATTAAAAACATCCACTTTAGATGACAAAATTGCTTCCTTCCTCTGACTTAGATGCTGAATTCACATTTACTATGTATGGGAAGACTCAAAAATAGAAAACAGTCTCACATTTTCTCTCTATCATCATCTGATTGCAATTAAATGATGATGAAATGTTTTTATTGTATTCCATACCGTGTTTGCTTCTTTGTATTCCTATTTTCTGCCAAAACCAAAGGACAGACCAGTTTACTCTGGATTTTATGTACGAATTGATGTGATTACAGCAGGCAAAGGTGAGATCCTGAGATTTGAGTTGAGGCCGCTTTGAAAGCGGAGTTGTTGCAGCCAAGGGCAGCATCAGCAGTGCCAGTTGAATTCCCCTTGCCTCTTCCTGCAAGTGCAGAGTGCCGGTCAGGCTGGGGTAAGGGCTGGGGCTGGAGGCCTGCCCCAAGCAGGAGCCAGGGCCGTACAGATGGGTGGAGGTGAGACTGTTCTGCCAGCGGCGATGTGGCTGAGGGGGTTTGTTTGCTTGGTATTTTAAGAAGAGAGAGTTGAGCTGAGGTGTGGTGGGAGATCTGGTATCTCTAACAGAAGGGTGATATAAAAATGAGCTCCAGGAATGTAACGGCTAGGGATTGACTAGGGCAGTGGTTTTTGTGTGTCAGTGTCACATTTTCCCTTGTATGTCTTGTATGTTTCTCTTCATATGTCTCTGCTAACAGAGCTAACTACCTTCATTTCATGAGGTACTTTTAGATACTGAAGACTTGAAACCCGTGGTTCAGCTGAATACATATGAGTCATTATAAAAGGATTGCATAGTATCTGGTTGCTCAGCCCATATTACCTGACACCTTAATAAGAACAAAAACAAAATAGGCACTATTTCCTTTGGCTTCCTGTAGACAGCTGTGTGTCTTTAGGGAACAACAAACACTGTGGCAAGTAATTTAGATGCTATTCTGTTTGGAAGTGCACTGGAATGGAGACACATTAAGAATTTCCAAGTAAATGCATAGTTAGGAATCAGTTGGCTTATTTATTTGTATGCATTTAGCTTGTCAGTTTTTGTGAATGTTTGTGTTCTCTCACATTCTTGCTGTCTAACTTCGAATTTCCAGGGAGCATCATGTGTCTAGAACCATTTAACTTTACTTACGCATATGAAACATAACCGTGTGGTGGTTTTGGTTGAAATTCAAAAAGCAAAATGTAGCACAAAAGCAGACTTATGCGTGATCCAAGATCGCTTCAGGTAGATAGAACAAAGTTCGGTGTGTAGTTTTTAGCTGTCAGTCATGTTAGCTGTGTATTTGGAAGTGCAAAAAAAGCTGCCAGTGGTTAAATCTATCATTGCATTTGCTTTCCCAATTGCTGCAAAGTAGGAAAAAACAAACAAACAAAAAAATGGCAACAATTTTCATGGTATATCTATTTTCAGTAAAACCACTATCTAATAGTGGACACTATTTTCCTTTAGTTCCTCAAAATGTGTTCTTGTGTACAGGACACGTACATGTGTCCAGATGTAAATACGTACACAAAGTCATTCTTAACAGTTTTCTGTTCCAAAGAATGAGGAAGACCTCAGCTAGGTAGTGCTGAGTAGTGCTTTTTAGATGATTTTGTGCCTACACTCTTGGAGACCTGATTTGTAGTAAATGTACTCTTGAAATTGGAAGCAAACAAAAAGCCTAATGTTAAAAAAAATCACCTTTTCCATCTTGATTTACCTAAATAAGCAACAGTTGCTTTTACCTCTGAGCACTTCTGTGATGTAGGTAGAAAGCTTTTGCTTCCATGTCTGTCTTGCAGTTTGTTTTGCTAGGAGGATGCAGATCCTTTTTGGAATGGAATTTTATGTCATTTCTTACACTGATAAAAGTGAACTGCTCTTGAGTTGTCATAGTTATTCTGATGCTTTCTTTACTCAAAAATGTATTCATGTGGAGCAGAAATAGTTTTGATGTTGTTTGTAAATACAAGTGTAAAACTACTTGAAAGAAAACTCTTGAAGCCTGTTTTTCTTAAAACTGGGCAACATCCATTAAATTTTATTGTTTACTGAGTAACCAGCACCCTGCAAAGCTAGAAGTTGGATTATTTATATTACAGCACAAGCAAGGCTTGAGAGATACAGCTGCAGAGGTCTCATACATATATACATCTGTGCTCTAGTAGTTCTTTTCTATTAATGGAAGTCACTTTTTCAGATCTATTGCTTTCTAAACCTTGCTTTGTATGCGTATTTTAAGAAATAAAGTTCAAATTCCATTCCTATCTGGAAATCTGAATATTTTCTCTTCAATTCTTTTCTCTTTTCCCTTTAGATATGCGTGATAAAATGAGAAAATGGAGGGAAGAAAACTACCGAAACAGTGAGCAGATAGTGGATGTTGGAGAAGAGTTAATTAATGAATATGCATCTAAGCTTGGAGATGACAGTAAGGAAATGTTTGTCAGAGTATCCCTTGCTTTTAGATTTTATTTCATTTGTCTGATTTTCGTTTTCACTTTTTGACTTCCGTTTTGCACTTCTCTGTTGCCTTCGTGCATCTGATTGGTAAAACAGGACTTTTTTTAGTCTTAATAGGTTGCCAAAATTCCCAGGTTTTATTTCTTTCCCAAATACAGGCTTCAGTGAAGACAGATGTAAAAATTACTCACTAAATATTTAGTTTAGTGAGTTAGTTTATTATTAGTTAATTATTAGTTAGACCATGATGTGAAAACAGCATATATATATATATGTTTAATTTAGCTTTCATTTGACTGATTTTCTGTTCTTCAGCAGCATTGAAAAATTGAAAAAGGTGATCATTGAGTTTCTACCCCCTGCTATGTGCAGGGTCACCAACCAGCAGACCAGGCTGGCCAGAGCCACATCCAGCCTGGCCTTGAAACATCCAGCCTGGCCTTGAATGCTTCCAGGGATGGGGCATCCACAACCTCCTTGGGCAACCTGTTCCAGTCCATTACCACCCTCTGTGTGGAAAAACTTCCTCCTAATATCTAACCTAAACTTCCCTTGTCTCAGTTTAAAACCATTCCCCCTTGTCCTATCACTATCCGCCCTCGTAAACAGCCATTCCCTCTCCTGTTTATATGCTTCCTTCAAGTACTGGAAGGCCGCAGTGAGGTCTCCCTGGAGCCTTCTCTCCTCCAAGCTAAACAAGCCCAGTTCCCTCAACCTTTCCTCATAGAAGAAGTGCTCCAGCCCTCTGATGATCATCATCATTTTATAGCAGAGATTTTCCACAGTGAAATCATATATCCTGCAGAAATTAATATTAAAGCTGTTTTCATTATCACTTATGATATTATAGATAAAACTTAAGTCTACATTTTCACTATCCATGAAATTGTTATTTTCATTAACTTTAGCTAACTTATACTAATTTCAGTAGACAGAATTTTGGCATACGGTGTTTCATATTGAAAAAGAATTGTTTGTTGTGGTTGTTCACAGGCATAAAGTAGCACTCTACTATAAGTATGATATAAAAACAAAGTATTAGAAAATGTTACCAAACGTGCATTTACTGGTTTGGGTATTAATCTCATGCTAGTAGGTTTTTATTTTAACAATAGATCTTTTTTCTACGTTTCCCTTTTTTATAGTTCAGATAATTTAATACAGGCTTAATGTATTTCTTCTAGTCCTTGAATTTTTATTAATTGGTGGTGTATAGAAATTGGTGGATTTTTGCAGTCATATTAATGCATTGTATGTACTAATGGGTGATAGTATTTTAATAACTCTGTTTAGTTTTAGTAAGTTAAATTTAATCTTGAATACCTGACTGTATCTGGTGTTCCACAGTTCACATAGCTCTTTCAGGAATGCAAAATCATGAAGAGCCTCTGGAGATTCAGTACCTGAAGGCACTCTGCTGTGCTTTGAAGGATATTACACTGTAGCTGTGAGGAATGTGGTTTGTAGGCTGCAGGATGGGCTTAATACAGCTACCTACAAAAGAATTGTCAATGTTTCCCTCTTATTAAAAAAAAAGAGCATTTGAAAACGAACCTTGATTTCACTCTCAAGTTACAGTGTTGTTGGTAGTTTATGAGAATTACATTTTATTAAGGAGTTCTTGAGGAGCTTGTTCCTCTCAGATCTTACTATTTTTTATTTTGGAATACTAGTTTGGAAGACATTAGCTTCTGTTTCTGTTCTGTAATGTATGTAAATCAGATCAGGTGTACCTTGTAAGTTTAGAGCACTTGCAGTATATGTATTAATATTTTCTTCTGCCATAATATGATTTTTCTATAGCTTGTATAGTTGCTCTCTTAAGTTCTTTAAATTCAAGAACTTAATGGACCTAGACCAGAATTACTATAATCTGTCATTGATTTAGAAAAATTTTTCCATTCCAGGAAGAAAGCAATATAATAAATTCCTGGCAGGAAACAGTTAAGGGAAATTTGTTTTCATTCTAACCTACGGCTGTTTTCCAGGTCTCATCAGAGGGCATGTCCTAATGGGGATCTGTTTAAAAGTTTGCAGTTATAATGTTAGGAATACCAGAGGATTTGAGCTTTTTGCTTTTCAGAATGTCAGAAGGTACTTTATGGTACTGACAGCAATAAAACTACTTAAATGCATTTTTAATTGATTCCATCAGTTTCTTGAAATGTCCGTTGTTCTGTAATGATCCACAGAAGAAGCAGGGGAAAAATATATGGACATAGTTCATTGATCTTATTTTCATTGTAGGTGTTTCCCTTTATGTTAAATAAATAAATAAAAATAATGATATTAGTTATCTCAATTTATGTCTCTTTTGTGTCCAGTTTGGATAATATACGAACAGGTGATGATTGCTGCCCTGGACTGTAGTCGAGATGATTTGGCACTGGTAAGTTTTTAAGCTGACTTTTCTCTCAAACCTTAAGTTTTCTTCCTGAGTACCTCTTCTGGATAGTTCCTTGGACATTTGTAGGATATTCTGAACTCCATAACTTGGCCTTGTAGAATATCAAGAAATAGACTGCTGTGAAGAAACTGCCTCCACCCACCTTCTGTAATGTGTTTAAGTAGATCATGTTTCTTCCAAGAGCCGTTAAAATATTTACAGCTACTTTGCTATGGGCTAAATTTCACAAATGCTGACGTTGCCATATTGTGCAGAAAGTGTTTGCTTATGAAAATTTTCTCAAAATATATAGCTTTTTAATGTTTTGAGGTAAAAATGCCCTGTCACGTATACCTATACAGTATATCATGCTGTCTTTGCTGGCAGTCCTTGACATGAGCAAGTCCAGTTGATGTCCACCGAGGTGAGTAAGTAGCTGAGCTACATAATGTGTGCTAAAAGAGATATAGGTTTGTTAAGTCTTGAGGAGGCAAAGAAGAGATCTTTGTTATCTTCAAATCTGTAATTACAGATTTGTAGTGTGTTATAAGGTTATGAAGTAAGTGTAGACAGACTTTTGTTGATGCAACAGAGGACAAGTGTGATAGGTATAAGTGGCAGCAAAGCATCACTGTCCAGTATTAGGAAAAAAAGTTTTTAACAGCGACAGTGGTGGACACTTTGGGACACATAGCACAGAAAAGAAGTGATATTTCTTGTAGATTCTGAGGAACACGTTGCCGTGTGGCCCTGAATCACCCTCATTAAGTTGGAAACTGGCTTTGTTACGAGTGAGGATTTGATGCAGGTGACCTCCAAAGGCCCCTTCTGATCCAAATTATTCAGTAATTCTTAATATAAATATTGTTAATCGCTATTTGGTTTTAGTAACTTTGTGTGCAGATTTATTTGAATTATAAAAATAATTCAGATTAAATGAGCCTGTTTTGAACTCCTAACAGCTGCTCACTAGTTGAAAAACAACACTTTCAAAGATTCAGGTCCTTCACAGGAATTACTTTCCCAGTGCTTTGTTCTCTGGCAGACAGAAAGACACCATGTAACATCTTTGAGCTTCATGTGGTGTCATTTGGGTGAAACTTAGTGGCCTGTGATATGCAGGGGATCAGACTAGGGGTTGTATTTGGGAGAAGGGCAGTTTGAAAGTAGGCAGAACCAGACAAGTTTATCTTGAGATTCATATACATATATGGTTCAGTGGAGTACTGGAAAATAGAGAACACCACACTGAACTGTGTGTGAACCTGGTGAACTTCCCTTTTATTTGTGACTCGAAAGAAGACACCATTGTAATATAGTTCTGTGTTCAAACAAAAAAATAAATGCATTTCTGTGTTCTGATTTATAGCTAAATCAATTTTAGTCTTTATTTTCAGGAAGACTTTCATGGAATTGTTGAAGCAGTCAGTGCTGAAAGATCAGCTGTGAAACACTATTTGTTTTTACTGACCATGGCAAGGATTTTGAATTTGTTTCTGTGCCCTCTAAGAGATATTGCTCGGGGTGAGGCAGTGCACGTTTTATATGCAGCTCAGAAAGGAGGTTAAAGGGTTAGAGGGAAACAGAGATTATTATTATTATTATTAGGTTGATTTATGATGAAGAAATAGTTAATTCAAGCAAGTCAGCATCATATGCGACTTTCTCCTACAACTGTAGCCCCAAAGTAGGTTTTTTAGCAGAGAGATTTTGATGTTTGTGCTTAGAGGATTGGATCTCAACTTCTCCAAATGAGGAGGCTGAGATGGATTTTACAGTCACTTGGAGAAGAGAAGGCTCCAGGGAGACCTCATTGCAGCCTTCCAGTAGTGAAGCGAGTGTATAAACAGGAGGGGGAACGGCTGTTCATGAGGGTGGCCTGACCACCCTTTCAGAGAAGTAGTATTTCCTAACATCCAGCCTGAATTTCCCTCGCGCACCTTGAAGCCATTCCCTCTAGTTCTATCACTGGTTACACGAGAGAAGAGGCCAACCCCCAGCTCACTACAACCTCCCTTCAGGTAGTTATAGAGAGCAATAAGGTCTCCCCTGAGCCTCCTCTTCTCCAGACTGAACAATGCCAGCTCCTTCAGCTGCTCCTCATAAGGCCTGTGCTCCAGACCCCTCACCAGCTTTGTTGTCCTTCTTTGAACCCACTCCAGGGCCTCAGTGTCTTTCTTGCAGCAAGGGGCCCCAAAACTGGACACGGTACTCGAGGTGCATCCTCACAAGTGCTAAGGATAGGGGGAAAATTACTTCCCTGTTCCTGCTGGTAACACTGTTCCTGATGCAAGTCAGGATGCCATTTGGCCTTCTTAGCCACCCAGGCACACTACTGGCTCATGTTCAGCCAAGCATCAGTCAATACCCCCAGGTCCATTTCCTGTACACAGTCGTCCAGCCACTCCATCCCAAACCTGTAGCGTTGCCTGGGGTTGTTGTGGCCTAAGTGCAGGATCTGACATTTGATCTTGTTGAACTTCTTCCCATTGGCTTCAGCCCAGCTATCCAGCCTGTCCAGATCCCTCTGTAGGGCCTCGCTACCCCCAGGCAGATCGACACTTCCAGCCAGCTTGGTGTCATCTACAAACTTAGTGGGGGTGCACTCAATGCCCTCATCCAGGTCATCAATAAAGATATTGAAGAGGACAGGCCCCAGCACTGACCCCCAGGGAACTCCACAGTCACCAGCTGGATTTAGCTCCATTCACTGCCACTCTCTGGGCCCGGCCCTCCAGCCTGTTCCTTATCCAGCCAAAGAGTGTACCTGTCCAAGCCATGGGCTGCCAGCTTCTGCAGGAGAATCCTGTGGGAGACAGTATCAAAGGCTTTGATTGAAATATATTGAAATATATTTGAAATATATTATAATATATGATTACAGGGAGTACAGGTTAAATTTAATAAGAATGATGCTCTGTATTGCTGATATGAGAGCAATATGTAAGATATAGATAGTCTAACTTATCATACAGGGGACTTCTTTTGGTTTGTTTTGAAAAGTGCTACAGCAAGTTTTTCAGAACAGTCTCACAACTTTTTGTATCAGATTATTTCTTCTGATTTCTTAATCTACAGGAATTTATTTTGGTCTCATAGCTCCTGAATTCCATTGGATAATGACCTAGTTGGGTCTGTGATGAGTAGTTCTAGTTTCACAGTACCTTTGCATTCTTCATCAGCGTTTCTTGTGTTGTTAATCTTTTTTTTTTTTTTCTGGATGAAAGTCCATCTGCAGCTTGTGAGATTCAGAATTACTGCAAACAAGTTTTGTCAGTTTTTGAACAAGTGCTGGAGAAAAGCAGTGAAGGTTTTTCTACTTCACCAGCAGCTCTTCATCTAGCGACACAGCACTTGTGCTAATTTTGCTAATTTTTACTGATTTACTTATCTGTTTGTATTTCTTACTTTGACCAGTGGATGTGATGAAATGGAACAGATTATGTGGATAGACCTTAGCCAGAACCTTAGATCTGAAGAACAGGTTTTTAAGCTCAGTTGTATAAATAAGTGCTTTGAAAAGGAACATTGTGTGTGAAGCTTTTAACAGAACTTCAACCGTTTGTCTTCTGAAGAGACTGGATTCTACTCTGCTTCTCATCAAAGAGTAACGACTCAGCTTCAGCTACAAACCTTGCACTGCTGTGTAGCCGCAGCTATGATATGATTTGTCAGTTTGCTCTGAGGAAGTTGTGGCTCACTCCCTCTGTCAAGCATGCCTTTTTTTTTTTTTTTTTTTTTTTGCTAATCTGGAGAAATCTCTCTGTGTTGAATTCTTTTATGCAGCCCAGATGTCTCATTGATTTCAGGAGTTAGAAGTTATACCTCATCTGCCAACAGGCTCTGTTCAAGCCAGCGACAAACATTTTCTTTGGATTTCAAAGTTTTATTTAAAAAATAAACACAGAGCACAGAATTAACATCATTTGTTCCATTATAAGATATCCATTTATTAGTGAAGTATCACATAAGTTCTTACTGTCTTTATTTTTTCTTGACTGTCTTGTGTTATTATGAGGAAACTGAGTAGACTTCTGTGTTTTGTAGCATCAATAAATGAGTTTACTTATAGTAAATGAGTTTACTTTTCATGGCAAATAACTATTTCCAGGAAGCCTCGATGATCTAAAAAACTATATGGAAAATAATTCTTAAAATTAGTCTTCTAACAGACGAAGTTTCAGTTTCTGAACTTCTCTTCATCAGTACATTTTATTGCTTATTTCAAAAATAGCTGTTTACTTTTAATCAAACGTCACCTTTCAGGCTGTTGAATTCATCAGCCAAGGACTTCTTTTTTCCCCACTTCTGTATTCACTGTAGTATTTTTTATTTTATTTGTACAGTTTTGTCTTCAGGAACTAAGGAGGCAGTTTCCTGGGAGCCATAGAGTTAAGCGATTAACTGGAATGAGATTTGAAGCGATGGAAAGGTAAAACCTTGATTTAAAAAAAAAAAAAAAGTATTTTCTATGTGGAAAGATGCATGCTATTTCTTAAAAAGGAATTCAGGCATAATAAAAGTGTGGCAAAGCAATGCTATCCAATTTCTATAAAGAAAATAATGGTGTGCACAATCATGTTATGTTTAGACACTTTTTATTGTGTTTTTGCTTGTACTATACAATGTTACATTTTTGCAATGTTCTGTCAGACTTCATAGATTGGAAAGATCTATTACGTGACAGTCTAAGTTATTATACAGTAAAACATGAGGCACTTTTTTGGCAAGGTCTGTGAGGTATACATTTCATCTTGCAGACCTAGAGCAGAATATGAAAATGACTGACAGACTTTTTTTTTTTTGCTTCATTGTACTTCTGTGCTTCTGATCGCTTCAAAATGGAGCTCCTTTTCTTTCTTTTCCAAGTCTTTATAAGTCCAGTAGAACTTAATATGAATCACTATAGAGTTCTTCATAGAAGCAATTCAAAAATGGCAGAAACTAAAAGAGGAAACATAGTAAAATATCCTATAAAATGTTTATAACATACCAAATTTAATATGAATTATTAAAATAATGAACAGTTGAGAACTTTTCCAAAAGGAATGACCTTCATTTCATGCCATACAGAGTTAATGGGATTTCGAGCCTTTGGCCCATCTTTAATGAAGGAATTGGAATTTTGAAGTGGATGCCTAAATACTTTTAAAAAATATATTTATTTAGCAGATGTTCTTTATCCATTTCCTTGCAAAATTATATTTGAAAATATAGTTTGATATGATCCACGAGTGAAAGTCCTTTGCTTGAAAAAAAAGGGAGGATAACTGGATTTCATTAGCACAGGAACAGTCTTAGTGCAACTAGAAGTTCCAGATTTCATGCTCTACGTGTTCCTGAAAAATTTCCATTAAACTTAGCAGTCTCCTTTTGATATAGGGTAGAAGCACACTGGAAGCTTAGCAGCTTAGCAGCATGTTGTTCCCCCTTTTCCCAAAACCTGTCCAAAAGTGCAAAATATCATAAATTCTGTTCAGGTGTGTTTGTCTACACTGAAGATGCTATTGCTTGGAGGTAGATCTCTGTAGGAGTTAATGCCACGCCAAACACTGTGTTGTTTCAGCAATGAAGTGAGACTGAGCTTCTGCTTTTCAGTAGTGTTTTTTAAAATTGTTGTGGTCAGTTTAAATCCTTGAGACTGAATTATGAGGGGAACAGTATAAGAGAAGCCAAGGTTACTTGTCAACAGGTTTTCTCTAGAAGCTGTAGGACAAGAATGGGCTTTAGGTGTGGGTCGTTGTGTACAGAAGTCCACCTATGATTATTCTGAACTGTGCCCTGGGAAGGTCTGCCTCTTTCCACTGCCTATAAATGAATCCTAAGGAGACTTTGTCTGGGGTGATCACATGCTGTGTAGAAGTGCACTTCTCATTAAATTCCAAGTGCCTTCAAGAGTTGTTAAAATCCTGCCTTCCTCACCAGAAAGGGGAAATAATGAGGAACATCCTCATAGACACTTGCTGATCAAGAGAATGCTCTTTTGGAACTTGACTTAGTTAACCTGGGGTTATGGGCTTTGTGTTTAGCCTTGTGAAATATATAGGATAAAGTAGCAGCTAATGGGGAACACAAATACTGTGTTTAATGGCATTTCTGCTCAACTTGCCAGTAGCAGTCACCTTCTGCTCGTTACTGCTTTGTGCTTCCTTTCACATTTGTGCTTACACCTTATGGTAACTGGATTGGAAAGCTGGGCTATGCGTGTTGTGGAAGCGCTCAGAAAGTGGTGCGAGTATGTGATGGGTGTCTGAGGTAAGAAGGAGATATGCAGCAACAAAATCAGCAGTACCTCAGAAAAACTGCTTATCAGATTATTTGTGAAGAGACAAAGCATGCCTTGGTTGTGTGGTGATAGCCTGGTGACTGTGTAGTCCAATGTATTTCGAGTTGAATTGTTTAATTTGTCCAGTTTGGGTTCTGCACATGGCTGGCTAAACACATCAACCTGTTTCCCAGAAGACGTACAGTGTTTATAGTAACTGGAGTAATCTATTTTGAGCAAACTTGAAATAGCAGAATTAATTAATAAAACCTATGTAGTGATGGTGGAAAACAGTTTCCTTTCGTGATTTATGGTAAAGTCTAGAAGTTTGTCTAGCGTTCCGAATCCTTGTAGTTTACTGTTTGCAGCTTAAATTTATAAAATCATAACAGAAGAGATAAATGAGAAGTTTTAAATTGCAGTAATTAAGTAAAAGTCATTATTTTGAATGGCCTGTCAAATTTTGGGATTTCTGCTTCTTGGGAAAAAGAGAGATTTGGGTTGTAGTGATTGGATCTATGGGTATAGAAGAAAAGAACAGAAAGAGTTAGTATGATAAGTTTGGTGCAAAATGTTTTCATTGCTGAAATTGTATTCCATGAATGAATTGCCATTTATTTTATTTAACTTTGTCTGCACAATTTTGTTTGCATAATTGTATTCAGTATAAAAGTACAGGAGTGTTATTAACTATTGCAAGGACAGTCATATAGTCAGAATTCTGTTTTAGCAAAAACAAATGTGAATGATTTCTTCGAACAGGTACGATGATGCCATCCAACTATATGATAGAATTTTACAAGAGGATGCAACTAATACAGTAAGTTTAAAAAGCTTTTCTTAACTGGAATGGTTTATTTGAAACTGACATTTTGTGGGTTTCACTGCGGAAAAACATTTGTCAGTATTACTGTATTTGTTTCCTTTAGCCTCCTAGTATTATAACTGTGTGTGTTACCTTGTTTCCTTTGTAATAAGATTCTCTTCGTGAAGAGATGATGTGTTTTAATACTTGCTTATACACTGAGTTTAGAAGACATAGGATTATAGCTGTTAACCTTTCCAGTAATCCTTAGTAAGACTTAGATTGATGTCAGTTAACAATGATTATTATCAATTGCTTGTTTGAAGGATATGTTTGTCTGTGTTACTTGATTTTGAGGAACTGGATCTCAGTATTGGTTAGACTTCTGTGCAGGTAAAATACTTTGGGTGTTGTAGACATTTGACAGTCTCTTGTAAACTCTCACTGGTACATCTTAAACCTCTGCCTTTCTGCACTCGTTGTGTTATTTGATGTGGTCTGTTATTCAGGAATTGAAATGGATTACGGGGTTAGCAAGGCTAATTGATATATATAAAATGCAAGTGCTTACATGAAGTAAACCATTAAAAAAAAGGGATGGCAACAAATTTTTTTTAGGGCAGTGCATCTTGAAATAATACCAAGTTGATCTCTCAGACTACATTGAGAGACTAAAGTCAGTCATTTAGCATTGATTTAACTCAGCAGTTTTTTGGTGTGTAGGTAAAAGAGCTATTTCAGTTCTTCACTCTTAGTTTTCACTTTCCCTAAACTAGTTTGTCTTCAACTTTGTTTGCAAGGTGATCTTCTTAGTAAGTCTAATGTTTATGACAAAAACTTTGAACATAAGATAAATAGATTCTTGCCATATATTTTCACAGATCTTAGCAATGCACAGCCCAAAAATACACCAAGTCTTCAAAGTCACAAATGTTAAAATGAGGAGGAAACCATCTACAGTGAAGCCACAAGAGTAGGTCACTTAGGTGCATATTTTATGGCTTTCTGCTAAAGCCTTAGGAAAATGGAGCACCATATTACAGTGACATCTGTAGACCACAGGTCTTTGAAGAGTACGTTTTTGTCTGTTTTGCTTTTCAGCTGTTTCAACATAGCTAATGTCATCTGAGCAAGGTGTTTGTGGGATAGTTTTCTAGAACAACGTAATGTGTTTAAGTAATATGCCTAATTTAGATTTTCTGTGTGAGAAAATCATTAAGATCCATAAAAGAAAACATAAGATGTAAATTTTGTAATAGTTCCATCACTTATTGGATTTCTGAAAATCTGAGACTAGAAGCAAACAGTTTAAAATGCAGAGTAGAAGTTTCTTCCCGTGTAACTGTTGGATAGGTTGGCTCAGTCTTGCCTGTGAAAAGTGAAAATTAAATATAAAGTTTGGAGAAATTGACACATGTAGGTTTCTTTGTGTCTTTTATCTGTTAATTGTTTCCATGCACACATGTGACTGCTGTAGGAAAATAATCGCATTTTTAAAAAGAAGCTGTTGCTCAGTTTGTGTTGGCAGTCACCTTCCTTTATAACAATTTCTTCTGATGTATGGACACATGGAGTTGGTTATATATATTAAACAGTTTGGCAAGTGCTGTGAGTGAAACACAGACATTTGTTCACACAAATCATACAAAAATCATACATTGCATCAACTGACAGTTTCAACTGGTGAGAAGCATGGGAGAAGCATTTTCAAGAAAAAAATCTTTTATTTTAAATTCCTAACAGGCTTCTCCATTATAAGTGAGCCCTGAAATCAAATTATGTAATGGACACTTATGCTTTTGGATGAAGTTTTATTGCAAATTTTGAAACTTAATACTAATTGTTAGATTTCATTTCTCAAAATATAATTCAAAGTAGTCTTCTTAAAATATGTTAATCTCTCAGTATTTCTCAACCATCTCAATTCTCAATATCTCTCAACCGTCAAACTTTACTCTATATTAAAAAGATTATTTGTGTAACAATGGAGCAAAGTTAGTTTTGTCATTTTGGAAATCATGTTTCATTTTCCAAAGTGTCGGCGGTAGGAGTCAGTCTCTTCTCTAAGGAGGTTAGTATTGTTGAATGAAATGTGACTTCTGTGAAAAGCACAACTTGTGTGCATTTTAATGCAATCAGCCTGGCAACCTTTTCCTTACTTGCCCATTTCAGATGAGATACAAGTATATTAGAGCTGTAGTTGGCAGATTATTCTGTTATTAAGGTTGCATAATATTTTCCATCATGGGTCTTTTTTTATTAATTAAAATTTAATTTAGTATCCAATTGAAAGTTTTATACTGATGCCAAACAGTGGCCAAGTTATTTATAGACCAGCATACTTATGCTGTTTCTCAGAATGAAATAAGGGGGACATTGTTTTTCATAAGGATTGGGAGAAAAGACTTGGTTGTTTGTTTTTGCCGTTAATTTATTTTATTGGGAAGACCTCATCTTGCTGTACTTTGGAGTAAAGCCTTGGATACCAACAGGAAAACAACTCTTAGTGGAATGCAACTTTTAGTATTCTATGAGGAAAACCACCCAAATTTATCTAAATCACAGGTATTTGAACCTGTTCATTTTGTGATCTCAGTAGAAACTGCTGAAATTTTTTATTAAATACATCTTCTAAATGGTCTATCCCAGGCTACAGAGAGAAAATGCAACTTCTAGCTGTTGTTCCTCATTACTGTAGTGTTGTGGGAAAGGGTCAGAAAGCAGGGAGGCAGGGAGGCTTGTTTCTTTTCTGAGTTGCACTCAGGTGGTGAGTATGGGAAAAGAAAGAACATCCCGAAGGAACAGAATGAAAAGGGAAGAAAGCAGAAATCGTGAGTGCCAAAGAGAGAGGGACAGGTATAGGAAAGTTAGGTGTTTAACTAAACAGATGTCAGATGTAGTGAAACAGGTAGTTTGAAGGGTAGATGGGAGATCAGAAAAGAGCAATTTGTATTAACATTTAAGTCTTGGAGTTTTTTCCCTCTTTTTTTTTTTTTTTTTTAATTAAAAATAACACTTTACTTTGAAGCACTTGTTTTCTTCTGTCAATAAACAGCTTTGAGACCTATGGGTGGAAGTTGTCTCATTCCTTGTAGTACTGGTATGTACTAGTTGAGTCAGTAACTGTTTAGGCTCTAATAATGAAGGCATATACCAAGGAAACAGTTCTGCAGTTCTGTTATTTCACTAAAGAGAACACAGGTTTACTTCATATCTCCTGAGGATAATGCTGAAGGCTCAGGTATGCTACTTTAAAAATGCCAGAGAATGAAAACTCTTTAAATGACCAGTAGTCTTTTGAGTTAGTAGGAGTAGGTACTAGTGAGATGTATTGATTAAGATAATGAAGGATAAAATTTCATATAACTTTGTAATATGAAATTTAATGGCACATTTGATCTCCAGTTATTTTTAATCTGTACACTGGTCTTCACAGTATTTTCGGTATCTTCATTAGTGGTCCTGACACTGCAGTAGCAATTAAATTTTGGATAATTTTTATAAAATGTAATGGGAAATCTGCTCAGAAATTGAGATTTCTATATTTTTCTATTTGATAGTCAAGACTTAATTTCTTGGGATGAGGTTTTTGTGTAAGAATTTTACAAATTAAAATAGTATCTTGAGTGGTTTTCTATTTCTTGCTTGTCTGCAGCATCCACGTGAAAGGAAACAGTACTACCATTTTACATGTGTAGAGCAGATAAAAGCAGCTCTGCAAAATTGTTTAGGACTCAGTTTCAAAGTAGATGACTTTCCAATTTTGCCATTGATTTTAATTTTGTAATGGATTTTAAATGATAATATAATTTTTAAACCATGTGTACGTATCTGTATCAAATTAAGTTGAATGCATTTTTGCATTAGTGTACCCTGGCAAAGGTTTCTGCTTTTGGGGAGTAATTTGCATGAGCACCCATCTATTTTGATAAAATAGGTAAGTATTTTTATGAATTGAGCCCTTCTTTAGATGACCTGTCCAGATGTGCAAAGAAGACTAATGGTGAAAGGGATACTGAGATCAAATGTCCAACTTTTATGCTGGTGTCTAAACCACTCCACTGTCATCCTAGTACAGCTGTAGTTTGTCTTGATACTTCAGCTCAACCATCAAGAAGATTGCAGAGCACTTAGTCAAGAAAAGGGGAAAGTGAGATAAGACACACAGTTCTGCCTTAATTCTAATCCCCAGAAAATCTGATGTCTTTATTGATGGGATTCTTGCCACTTTTTCAACTAAGCTTTTAATGCAAGAAGACACTGTATATGCTTGCTTAGCTTAGGGTATGTGGATAATCTTGTTACCTTCATGTTCTAGTAAAATAACATGCGCTGAATGAAGAATTAAAAATGGAGTTTGAAGAACAAGACAGTAAATTACTTAAGAACTTGGAAAGACCATGACTTCACCCAGAGTGCTAACAGCTCTGTTTTCAGGAATGATCAACAACAAGTATATTTATAGGATCACATGAATTAACACACTTCTGTAGTATTTTGAGATTCTTTTATTAGCCAAGCTATCTTGACATGGCTGAAGACATATTGGAGTCCAGATACTAGAAAAAAAATCAGAGTAAAATCATGTAAAAAGGCAGAAATTAGATATCATAAATAACTTCCTAGCTTTTTTTTTTTTTTTTTTTTTTTTTTTTTTTTTTTTTTGTATCATTGTGTATTACTACCACCTTGACTGTACAGGTAACATTTTTTTCCAATTCCTTATCTTTATTGATCAAGGTAAGAATAATGAGCACTGTCTGAATATCGATACTTATTTATAATGTGAACAGTGATAATTTTTTTTACAGTTCCTGCAGTAACAATGCATTTATTTTGAAGAGGCCTCCACTGAAGTTCTTGCAGGTTTGTCTGCTGGAGGCTTTTAAGTTTCAAAAGGGAAAATTGCTTACCAAATGAAATACCTGCTAATAGAGAGAATTTTGTGAAGTGACGTGTATGTTTCATTATAGACATTGATGGCCCTGCTGGGAAAGATGCAGCTAGTCCCAGGT